AGGCTGCATATCTCTGTTTCCCCTGATTGATCCCTGGTGTCTTCTTTAGTTTTTTTGGTGACATCACGTTACGTCATGTTTTCCTGGATGGTGTTGATTCTAATAGATGTCCTTTAGTGTCTGAGCATAGAAGAGTTAGGTATTTATTGTTGTCTTCACCATCTGGGCTTATTTGTACCTGTCCTTTTTGGGAAGGCTTTTCAGACATTCAAAAGGACTTGAGTGTTGTAATCTAAGCTGTATCTGCTTTAGGGGCACCCCAAGACCAGTAATGCTGTGGTTCTTAGGGACTCATAGAGGTTCTACCTTGATGGTCTTGGATAAAATCTGGGAGAATTCCCTGGATTACCAGGCAGAGAATCTTGTTCTTTTCCCTCACTTTCTCCCAAACTAAGGGATTCTCTCTCTCTCTGTTCTGAGCCACCTAAACCTGGGGGTGGAGTGGCACAAGCGTGCCTGTGGCCACCACCACTATGACTGTGCTAGGTCATACCTGAAGCCAGCACAGCACTGGGTCTCACCCAAGGCCTGCTGTAACCACTCCCTGATTACTGCCTATGTTCACGTAATGCCCTGGGGCTCTACAATCAGCAGATGGCAAAGCCAGCCAGGTGCCAAGTTCTTCTAGACCCTGGGTGGTTCCAGAGGTGCTGTCTGGGAGTCAGGGACTAGGGTGGTAAACCTTAGAACTCTAGCTGGTATTCTGTTGTACTGTGGCTGAGCTGGCATTCAAACCACAAGACTCAGTCCTCCCCACTCTTCCCTCCCCTTTCCAAAGGCAGAGGAGCCTCACCCTGTAGCCACCACCATCACAAGCCATAGGGAGTACTGCCAGACTACTGCTAATGTTCCTTTAAGGTCCAAGTACTCATAAGTCAGCTTGTGGTGAATGCTGCCTGGCCTGGGACTCACCCTTCAGGGCAGTGGGCTCCCTTCTGGCCCAGGACAGGTCCAGAGATGTCATTCAAGAGTCGAGTCCTGGAATCAGGGACCTCAGGAGCCTACTTAGCGCTCTATTCCCCTGTGCCCATGCTGGTACCTAAGGTGGAAGACAAAGTCCCCTTTACTTTTCCCTCCGCTTTTCTCAAGTAGGAGTTTCAGCCAATAACCACCACAGCTAGTAATGTGCTGAATCTCACCTGAAGCCAGCAAGTCTCAGAGGGTCACCAAAAGCCCTCGACATAGTAACTTGGTTTCACTGCTGGTTATTCAGAGCCTGAGGGCTTTTCACTTAGCAGGTAAAGAATGATGCTAGGACTGGGTTCTTCCTTTCAAGGCAGTGGATTCCCTTCTGGCCCAGAGGTTGTCTAGAAATGTCATCCAAGAGCTAGGGCCTGAAACAGGGGTCTTGCAACTCTGACTGGTGTCCTATCTGCTGTGGCTGACCTGGTATCCAAGATGCAAAACAAGTCCTTCTCTCTCTTCCCTCCCCTCTCCTTAAGCAAAAGGAAGGTGTCTCTTTTGGAGCTGTGAGCTGTGCAGCCTGGGGTTAGGGGAGGGGTGATGCCAGCACTCCGTTAGCCACCCCAGCTGGTGTTTTAGTAGGTCACATGCCCCTCCCAGTCCACTGTCTCTGGGCCTGGTTCAACGCTAGGACTTACCTAAGATTTGCCATCATTATGGCCTAGACTGCCTTTCAAGTTTACTTAGAAACACATAGCACTGTAGCCGTTGGTGATGAGGTTTGCAGGAACTCAAGTTTCGACAATTGGGATTGGCAATTTCCCTCTGGTTAGGGCTGATTTAAATGCTCCCTCCATGGGTAGGCGCCAGCAGAGTTTGGTCCAGTTTCCTTTCTGCTCTAATGGGATGGCACTGAGTTCAGTGCCTCACAATTGCTGTGTTCTCCCTCCCGCAGCACCCAGAGACGCTCTCCGCATCATGCTGCTGCTGCCGAGGGTCGCATTAGAGATTCAAAACTGTTTTACTCACCTCTCCAGCGTGCCTTTCAGTGATACAAACTTAACAGCAGGTCCTATGAGGACTCCCCTGATTTTTGTTTTTTGTAAAGGTGTTTTTTTGTGTGTGTTAGATAGTTGTTAAATTGGTGTCCTTGGGTGGGGAGGGGAAACTGGTATTCTATTCCACCATCTCGCTATACCTTCTATCTTTTGTTTATATTCAAGGAATACATTGTTATAACTTTTATAAAATCAGTGGTCATTTATATTTTCCACGTATTTACCTCTTCTCTTCTCTTTGATCCTTCTTGTGTTTCAGACTTTCCATCTGCGATCACTTTTTTTAATGCCTGAAATTTATTCTTTAGAATTCTTTCTTCTTTCTCCCTTTCAGTCTGTACTTCTTCTTTCTTTTTTTTTTTCTTTTTTTTTTTTTTAGTGATTGATTTGGTTTGATTTGTTCGCTGTAAGCAAGTGGGAGCATGCTATTAAAGGATGTTTCTTGCCCTTGTTCACAAAGCCTTATTATGAGAGGTTTACATATACCCATTTAAAATGTAAATCTAAGCATGCTTCTTTTAAGATGCACTATGTGCTGTATTCTCTTGTTGAGTAAAACAAAGTGAGAATGGCAAGAGGAAGGCTAGAGAGCTAAGAGTGGGCCATCCCATGTAGGGCTTGACAGCTATAATAAATAAAAAAAAATCTAGACTTTATCCTAAGAACAACAGAGTCATTGAAGAGTTTCAAGCATAAAAGTGTCATTACTACATTTATGTTTTAGAAATATTACTTTGGCTGCTATATGCAGAATAGTGTAGATAAGGGCCAGTGGTGAATACTAGAAGAGCAGATAGTAGACTGTTGAAGGAATACAGGCAGTTAATGAAATAGGGAGAATGAGTGAATTTAATGATACTTGGTGGGTGAATCCTTAGAGCTTCATGACTGACGGTGACTTGTTTTTGGGAGTAAAAGACAGGCTAGAGTTAAGGACAAAGCCTAGGCTTCTGGCTAGGAAAACTAGGTGGGTGATGTTATCACTCACTAATATGGGGAACAAAGAAGAGAAGCAGATTTGGAAGATAGAATGATAAGTTTCATTTTGTGCATGTTTAATGTGAGATACTTTTGAAACTTGTGACAATCAAGAGAATGTCTCACCATGGATGGTGGCTCACGCCTATAATCCCAGCACTTTGGGAGTCTGAGGCAGGTAGATCATCTGAGGTCAGGAGCTCAAGACCAGCCTTGCCAACATGGTGAAACCCCATCTCTAGTAAAAATACAAAGATTAGCCAGGCGTGGTAGTGTGCACCTGTAATCCCAGCTACTCGGGAGGCCGAGGCTGGAGAATTGCTTTAACTAGGGAGGCAGAGGTTACAGTGAGCCAAGATCAGGCCTCTGCACTCCAGCCTGGTGATAGAGTGAGGCTCCATCTTAAAAAAAAAAAAAAAAAAGGCTGGGTGCGAGATGGCTCACCCCTGTAATCCCAGCACTTTGGGAAGCCAAGGCGGGCAGATCACAAGGTCAGGAGTTCGAGACCAGCCTGACCAACATGCTGAAACCCTGTCTCTACTAAAAATACAAAAAGTAGCCAGGCGTGGTGGCGTGTGCTTGTAATCTCAGCTACTCAGGAGGCCGAGGCAGGAGAATCACTTGAACCCAGGAGGTGGAGGTTGCAGTGAGCCAAGATCACGCCGCTGCACTCCAGCCTGGGCAACAAGAGCAAAACTCTGTCTCAGAAAAAAAACAAAAACAAAAACAAAAAACAGCGAGAGAGAGAATGTCTCCTCTGCTACTTCTTTATCTCAGGAAAATGCAAAAGTTGTAGGCTTTTCTATAGACTACCACTGAAATGACTAATTTTTTTAAAGGGGGAGGGGAGATGATACATAAAACTTCAAGAACAGAAACCAGTTCTTCTCTATCCCTTTCTCTGCCTTCTCTACATTTGGCTGCCTATTAAATGTGGTCTTATTTTCTGCCTTATAAAGTGTAGTTATATGTAGATAATTAAATTTAGCTTACAGACAATTCAATTTAGCTTCTTTTTTTGACCAAACAAATATGGTGGGGTTGGCAGCCTCTTAGATGACCTCCAATGATCTCTATCCACTACAGATTTACACCCTTGTCTATAATCTCCCTTTTTTTTTATTTGAATGTGAGCTGAACATTTCAAGTCACTTTTTTTTAATTTTTTTTTTTTTTTTTTTTAGTTATACTTTATGTTCTAGGGTACATGTGCACAATGTGCAGGTTTGTTACATATGTATACATGTGCCATATTCTCACTTTTTAAAAACAGTATATGGCAGAAATGATATGGTGGCACATCTGAGGTTATTAAAAAAACTGTGATGTGGCTCACACCTGTAATCCCAGCACTTTGGGAGGCTGAAGCGGGTGGATCACCAGAGGTCAGGAGTTCAAGACCAGCCTGGCCAACATGGTGAACCACCATCTCTACTAAAAATACAAAAAAAAATTAGTTAGGCATGGTGGCACACACCTGTGGTCCCAGCTACACAGGAGGCTAAAACAGGAGAATCGCTTGAACTTGGGAGGCGGAGGTTGCAGTGAGCCAAGATTGCACCATTGCACTCCAGCCTGTGACAAAGCCAGACGCCGTCTCAAAACAACAACAACAACAACAACAAACTGTGGCTTCTGTTTTGGGTGCCAAATCTCATGCTCTTTCTTGGATGTCTTTAAATGCGGGGAAGCCAGCTTCCATGTCATAAGGAAGCCCTGTGGAAAGGCACAAGTGGCAAAGATCTGAGGCTTGACAACAGCCAGGTGAGAGAGCTTGAGAGTAGATCCTCTTTCAGTTGAGCCTTAAGGTTACTGCAGCCCAGGCTGACATGTTGACTGCAGTTACATGAGAGACTGTGAACCAGAATCACCCAGCCAAACTGCTCCTAGATTCCTGACCCACAAAAACCAGGAGATAATAAATGTTTGTTGTCCTCAGCCACTAAATTTTGGAGTAATATTTTATGCAGCAGTAGATAATTAATATACACCTGGCTTGGTGCATTAATCAGGGTAATCAGGCTGGGTCATGGAAGGAGTGTTTGATATATAGGAATATTGTGATTCAGATAATAAACTGTTTTATTTATTGAAGAGTAAAATAGTACATTAACAAAATCTTATCTGATAGAGAGATAATACCAGAAGTCTTCTTACTGTGATTATCAGCTAAGTTACTGGTTGAAGTTAGGATATAAATCACTGGATAGTTTTTGTCTGGAAAGATTTAGAACACATCAATAAGGCCCTCTAATAAAGAAATTGAAATGAGATCTTGCCCTTTGGAGAAAGAGAACTGTGTAATTCCTGTAGCCAGGGCTCTTAGTCAAAGAGAAACAGAAGGTTGCGACAATGGTCCAGTGAGCCTGGCCCCAGAATTCCCTTCAACTTGTCTCTTGCTTGACGTTGGGGAGAAGACTGGGCATGATTTAGAGGCTGGAGACTAATTCGACAATGGGAAGATGCAAAAATTCATATCCTGGGTTCACCCTTTGATGTTGGGCCATTAGATCCAGTTTCTCTTTGCCTCTCATGTCTCAAAAATGCTCAGATATTAGTTTCACCACTTTGAGAGACATGGTTGCTGCCATCAGTGGGTGAAAGATTGTCTTGCTGCCTGAGGTGGGATGTGCATGGCCAACACCCATTTCTCTGGTTGTATAAGACAGGGACCTAAAAAGGGAAAGGCTGGGAGGAGGATCATCCAGCAGGTGATCATTTAGGACTTCATGCTATAAATGGTTTTGCATTTCCAGAGCTGAAACAAGTCTCTTCACCACAGGACAATTGCAGATCATAGCCCTATGCTCTGACTGGTTTTATCAATCTGGCAGTTCAGGGTCAGTGCAAAGGACATCCCCAACACCTGTGAAAAGAGTTGGGAAAATTTGAAGTCTTCATAAGAAAAGCCATTTCTTTCACAATTCTGGGATTGGCCTCTGAGAAAAAGAATGTATCCATTACACTGAAACCACCCTTCCCACCACTACTTTCAAGTCTCTCTCAGGAGCTCTTTCCTTTAGTTAAAGAATAGCAGTGGGGAGAGAAACGGGGTCAATGATGACAAGATAATAGGCTGTAAAGTATTGGAGCATGTTTTATCTTCTGAGGAAGTCACAGAAGCCCTGCTACTAGGATGGTCATATTCTGCTCACTGAACACTGTGCAATGACTTATTTCTATCCATGCTCTGTGCCTCCTTTGTTTCCAAGCAGAGAAAAGTCATTTTCTCTGAGCTTCCTGGTTGAGTTTTAACTAATCTATGATATACCCAACACTTGGGTGGAAAAATGTTAGAAATATCACATTATTTTTGTCCTTTTTTATTAAAAAGGACAAAAAACTACCCTCAATTCACCCATCACTTGTCAAACTAAGCACAGAAACAAAGAGGAAATTGATTACAATTTTCATCATCAGCCCCTTAACATGCAAGATCAGGTTTTCAAATGAAATACTTTATCAATTCGTCTTTTTGAGACCAGCTGAGGAAGGATCAAAGTGGGAGTCTGCTTGTTGGCTTTCTGTTTGACTGCGAATCAGGTGAATCACCCATATCTCTGAGGAATAAATTGACCAGAGAGATGTTCTTTTTTTTTTTTTAGGAGACAGAGTCTCGCTCTGTCGCCCAGGCTGGAGTGCAGTGGTGCGATCTCGGCTCACTGCAAGCTCCGCCTCTGGGGTTCAGGTCATTCTCCTGCCTCAGCCTCCGGAGTAGCTGGGACTACAGGCGCCCGCTACCACGCCCGGCTAATTTTTTGTATTCTTAGTAGAGACGGGGTTTCACCGTGTTAGCCAGGATGGTCTCGATCTCCTGACCTTGTGATCTGCCCGCCTTGGCCTCCCAAAGTGCTGGGATTACAGGCGTGAGCCACCACACCCTGCCAAGAGATGTTCTTACAGCACATTTTCTATATACCTTAAAGTAAATTGTTAATTACATTATTTGCTACTTGGCTGGGGGAATTCAGATACTAGTAAAAATAGCTAACATTTATTGTGTAAATACTGTGTACCTGGTACTATTCTGAAACCTTTCCTGACTTAACTCATGTAATCCTCACAGTAACCCTGTGATTAAGCGCTTACCTCGATCACACATACACAGATGGTGATGATTCCAATATACAGGAAATTGGAATGAAACCACAGTCTTGCTTTCGCGTAGCAACCCTAGAAAACATTTCAGTTACAAATGATGCCACTCTAAACATTTCAGTTACAAATTCCACCATATCAAGAGGATTATTTGGAAGATACAGTGCTTTGCATTTTGCTTTATGTAATACAAAGAGACTTAGGTATTATATTTTTATTTTCTTTGCATGAATGAAGAAACAGGCATAAGGTGGGAAATATTAAACTAGAGACTTTTCTGGTATTGTTATCATTACAGTGGTACCTAATGTAGAAGTCCTAGATCCTTACCTGCTGAGTTAAACTAGCTTCTAAGAGGCAGGTCAGCAACCGACATCCTACTGTCTTTGAACACTCAGTGCTGATCAGAGATTAACATACGGCATGCAATACTAAAATTGGTTTGCATTTCACTTTCTGCTTCAACATTCAGTAAATCCATCATAGCCCCACCAAGCACCAGGGCAGCTGCTGGTCAGTGCGTGTCCTAGTCTTTCTCCACAAACCTGAAAAATCCTGGAGATTTCCAAACCCCTTCAGGAACAGATAACAGGAGGAGACAAGACCTCAGGGATTTGGTCTAGTTGGAAGATAGTTATGGCTTCTTCTCAGAGCCTATTCTGGAGATCCAAATTAATTGGACAGGTTGTTTCAGTAGTTCCACTAACTCTGTCTCCCTCAACTCCTTACTCCTTCACTTATGATTCATTTCCCTAAGGGGCTGGATTCTGCCATCTCCAAGGAAGAAGAGCAGAGAAAGAGGGAGAGGGGGAAACTTTTCTATCTTGACCTTATTCATTTCACTTTTAACCATAAGGAGACCTACTTCTTGCTTAAGAAATATCTAGACACAACCCTCTGCTACTTTCACACAAACTGTTCCCCTCTAATGTAATAGTCTAGTGTAGCAAGATCAATCATAGTCTCTAGTCTAAATGATTTTGTTCCTATGTTTTTCTGACTTTTCTAATTACCCAAGGTTGTTGCCTTGGCCTCTCTTTTATTCAAGGTCCCCTGTTTCTCGATAAAAAGTCTAGGTCTTCTATGACTGCAGTTTCCAAGGTAATTAAACATTTAAACAAAGAGGTCAATAACAGAAACATTGCTAACAAAATTACCTCCACATTTGGATCTGAGGGGCAAGATGCTGGTGGGCCACTGGTCCAATCACTCGTGCCATTTATACCACAGCACTGGAGCTAAAAGCCAAACCCCCAAAATGATGATGGTTAGAAAGTCGACAGTGAAAAAAAGCTGTGGACCTTAGAGGAAATGGTGGGCCCTTCAGAACTGACTCTATAGCAGAAGTCCAGAATTGGTCTGATTACTATGGGCTCCTTGAAACAAAGTGCTTTCTAATCTGTTATACCATTTCATTCCCATAAGATCCCTGTGGAGTAGAGACCCCTGTGCTTAATCTAGTCACATTTTACAGATCAAGAATAAGGCACCCAGGGACTGCATAGTGGAGGGATTAGGCTGACCACCCTTGGACTCACCAGACAGTCTTAAGATCACAGAAAGTAGGACCATCAAACATGATGTACCTGCTTACATGATGCAATAGGAAGTGACGGCTATTGCAATCTTATCACAAAACAAAAACCACATCAAACTTTTAAGTTCACGGGGCTTACGGGAGACAGAGACTCCCTGATACCAAAATACTCGAGGAAGCAACTAGCCAGATCTAGAGAGTGGAGAAGTCTAAAGAACAAACAGCCTAATTTCTTTCCACAAAAAGCAAGAACAAAGAGGGGTACTATTATAGATTAAAAGATAAATAGAGAGACCTATCATTCAAATATAAACACATAGGCCTTGTTAAGATCTTGATTTGAACAAGTCAATTAAAATTTTTTGAGAAAATTAGGGAAATTTAATTATATGCTTTATTAGTGGTATTAAGAAATTACAAAATTTTAGGTGTATTAAAAAGAAGTTCTTTTATATTTAGTGGGTGAAATAATATATTGTTGCCGGGCGCGGTGGCTCACGCCTGTAATCTCAGCACTTTGGGAGGCCGAGGCGGGCAGATCACAAGGTCAGGAGATCGAGACCACGGTGAAACCCCATCTCTACTAAAAATACAAAAAATTAGCCGGGCGCGGTGGTGGGCGCCTGTAGTCCCAGCTACTCAGGAGGCTGAGGCAGGAGAATGGTGTGAACCCGAGAAGCGGAGCTTGCAGTGAGCCGAGATCGCGCCACTGCACTCCAGCCTGGGCGACAGAGCGAGACTCCGTCTCAAAAAAAAAAAATAATAATAATAATAATATATTGTCTAGTATTTGTTTTAACATATTCTAGCAAAAAAAGTGTGGGGAATTAGAGGAGATGACACTGGAAAATATTAATTATTGAAGAGTTGAGAGATTCATTTTTCTGTTTTTCTCTTTACTTTCGCATATTTCTAAAAATTATATAATTAAAAGTTTTCTAAACTGAATTGAAAAAATAAAGAATTGGAGATCTAAAGAAGTTAGGGGACTTCCCCAAGGCTACCCAATTGTGGTCTCCAGGTTCTAATTCCTGTGCCATTTCTTCTACTCCACACTAAGCCAGCGTGCAGTCATAGTGGTACTGTTTTGAGACACAAATAGTTTATACCGGTGCAAGGCTCCATCTTTATCTCCCAACACATCACATCAGGAACGCAGAGCTTGTATATGCTGTACATATACATATACATGTTTGTGGGTGGAAACAGCGCATGAGGAATGGGGTGTTGGTGGGCTATGTAACAAGCCTGATTTGGGCAACTCAGGAATTCAATGGCAATTTCTTGTGTTATACAATGCTGTTTTCAGTAAAATTTTGGAAAATACATAAACTAATCCAGTTTGCTGTGTTTGGGTCTTCTTCACATCCTAGTAGAACTTAGATAATAAACCTATTCATGTTAGAAAAGGATGAAAGAGAGAATGTAGAGAACTTTGTACTAATCAGACTAATTACTGGGCTCCCATATTTGTGATAGCCAAGGCAGCATTCTGGGATTCAGCAGTGTGGACCTTAGATTCTGAAACTTCCAGAAAAAGGAACTAGCCCCCAGGGTTTTAGACTTGAACATGAAGTCTGGGCTGATCTGAAGAGGATTCCACTTGTACTCACAAATGACTGGATGGAGTCCCACGCTGCCTTGGTGCTATTGTCTGAGTGGTAACGGTGGATGCTGTCGGTCAGACCCTTAGCCACATACTCATTCAGCTGGGCAGGCACATTCCAGCAGAGGAGACATGGTAAAAAGCAGGTGAGTTCAAGGAATAAGGAATTTCCAGTATAGGTTAGTGGTTCCACTCGCTCTTCCCTTCCAAATGGTCTCCTCAGAACTAAGGGTGAGGGGAGGCTGTTTATCTATGGGCATACATGCTGAGCATGAGATGACATTGAAAGAAGAAGTATTTAGTAGGCTTGCTTCCTTCTAGAGCTCTGGCTCTACAAGGGAGGAAAAGGGGCAATTAAAGCAAGGACTATCCTTAGGCACTGAGGCAGACATTCTCTCCTGCCAAACATACAGAGGAAAGCAAGTAGAGGAAGAGACACTTGTTTTACTGTTCTTTCCAGGCACCCCTCAAGATACCACTCAGATACAATCTCTTTCATACAAATTTTTTCTGCCCCCAATTACAATTACTCTCTCTTTCCTCTATCCTTCCATTTCATTTCTATATTATAGGACTTATTTTGTAATTTTGTAACAACTTCTCCACTGCATACTCCCCACTTTCAGTATTAAGACAATGAGTTGTGCTCTTTATAACTTACCTTCTGTTCATATACAAAGAGCAGGATGGCCAAGATCACCTCGGCAAGGAGGATAATCAGCAGCAGGATGAAGAACTGGGACAAAGCAGATACATTCTCACAGCACTGATCCCCATTCTCGTCCCACTCCCACTCAGCTCTGGGAGCATCCAGGAGTGTTTGCACATGTGCAGGATGTTCCTGTTCTGCCTCCTCAGGCCTTTGTAAGCCTTCTTTTGTTTTGTGAAAATATGTGTTTTTTTTCTACAATTAGACTCTAGAGGGCAGATCAACTGTCTTCTTTGTTCTCTCCTACCTGCTGTGTCTATCAGAGCACGATATGCGTAATACATACACAACACCATTTGTTGAATAAGTTAAGCAATTTTGACATCTACCTATTGAAGCAGTTAAGTAAAAGCTCAATAAACTAGATCATTTGGGGCCTGGTCCTTTCTACAAGATCAGGATACCTCTGTGTGGAGGACTGCTGGTAGTGGCTGAGAGGAGCCCTATACAATGGTGAAAAGAAGGGTCCTAGCCATGGTTCTAACTCATATTTGTTTCCAGCTTCCGATGCTTACTCCCTTTATGCTAATAACACACAACAGAAAACATTTTCACTTATTCCTTCTCCTTTACCTTTTTTACCTCAACATTAATTTTGACTGCTTAAAACATTTACCTTACCCCATGTCTGCTATCTTCCATCCTTTGCCATTAGTCTGAGAACTATCTGAGAAGAGGGACTTTTTTTTATTCCTTCTCTTGGCTGCAGTTTAAGAGTTGACCCATAGCGACTGGGCGCAGTGGCTCACGCCTATAATCCCAGCACTTTGGGAGGCCAAGGCAGGCAGATCACATGAAGTCAGGAGTTAGAGACCAGCCTGACCAACATGGAGAAACCCTGTCTCTACTAAAAATACAAAATTAGCCGAGCATGGTGGTGCATGCCTGTAATCCCAGCTACTCGGGAGGCTGAGGCAGGAGAATGGCTTGAACCCGGGAGGTGGAGGCTGTGGTGAGCCGACATCGTGCCATCGCACTCCAGCCTGGGCAACAAGAGCGAAACTCCATCTCCAAAAAAAAAAAAAAAAAAAAACCACGAAAAAGTTGAACCATAATGGAAAAAAAGATTAACCAGATGACTTAAGGAAGAGCCAAGGTGATTAGAAACCCACATCTATTGGTAGAGTGGCACTGTTACACCAAGCTCTGTTCTGGGAACACTAGAGAAATGCAGAGCTCAGTGTTCTACAGGCACTGTGCTTACAGGCAAAACCTAAGCCTTAACGTACTCCTCGGGATAGTACCTGATAGGCAATATGCAAAAGGCTCTAGCATCTCTCACATTAGACCTCAACGGCTGCAGCCAGAGCCCTCAACTAAGTTGGATCTCTATGGAGTATCTTGTGCATATATGAGTTAAGGAAGCATCCTCTGGCATTTGGGGAGGAAAGAATCTAGAAATTATTTTTCCATTAGTTAGTGACTCTGAGTCAGATCCTGAAAGTACATAATAATAGCTAGCATGAGGAGGATTTTGGAAGATAGATGACACCTGGTTTCATCCAGACATAAAGAAAAAATAAAATGCTATGAAGGGGAATTATAATAATGACAAAGGTCATTATTAGCAGTGTAAAATGGCTACCAAGGGGGATAGCAATGCCCTCTCTCACCTGTCCATGGGACCTTAGTCATACATAATATACTATTGGTCTGGGCAGACTTGGCTGATCTGAGGTACCAATCTCATTTTCCTAAGATCTTTCTGTGCCTATAAGTGACCTACCAAAAAACATCTTGCCTGGGACTTAGGCACCATCTCCCTGACTTGGGGCACCACATCTCTGTAAGGACTCACCGACATAAGCAGGCACTTGTTTTCCTTGATAGAGCCCATGCAGCCCAGGAAGGCAACTACCATGATAATGGAGCCCACAATGACAAACACATTGCCCAGCGTGAGGGAGGGGAGGTTATGGAAGAGCACTCCGAAGTTGTTGTGGATCAGCAGGTAGATCCCAAAGCCCAAAATGCAGCAGCCACAGATCTGAAAGGAAGAATCCCACAACATCCTGAAGCAAAATGTGGTTCTTGGGTATCTCCTCATATTCTCACTTCCTTGAGATCAGAATCACTTTATTTTTAACTGGCTCAATCAGAGTCTCATGAACAATTTTTTTACCAAACTTTTCCATGCTTACATTGGAGAGGCAATCTCAGCTTTCTCATGTGGAGACCTACTCACAACTCTTCCTACCCATTTCGAAATACCAAGGAAAAAGCACTCCTGTGAGCCGCACAATATCTTCACTATATATAGGTCTAACTTCCTGTTCCTTATTTCAGTCACTCACACATGGCTTTCCCTGTGGAAACCATGACCATGTAGAGAAGATGTCCTGCTTGAGGAAGCTCATCTTGCTAGGCAGAAAACTAGAGAAGCCAAACTTATAATAATCTTCTCATATACACAAGTACCAACCCATCCTGTATCTGAAATTCAATTGCTGAATTTTGTACAGTGAAACCTCCCCGGAAAGGGTGACTTTCCTTTCATTCACTTATTGTTTCAAGGAATCTAAAAAAAAAAGACAAGAAAAACAGAGGCACTCAATACCCAAAGCACACAGTCTCAGGTTTCTCACCTATATATATGAGCTATAAGTAGTAGTAAACTAAAGCCCTCAGAGAGAAACAGCACCTCCATTAATAACTGCACTAGTACCTTTCAATTTTGCAGGTTTATTCTGTGGCAGGAAGAGGGGAAAAATTATTATTCCTTTGTTTCTAGGATGGTTGTGCTGGACATGACCCAAACATGCATGCATTTTACCCCACACCAGCCTCTTCAGTAGAGGAGAGAGGAGAGCTTAGCTGGGGAAAGGTGAGCTTAACCATGCTCAGAAGAGACACACTTACCCAAAAGAGCAAGTTGAAGAAAAACAGGACATACTTCAGCAATTTCAAGCTACTCATGCCCATGCTGTGATATTCTTGCCCTAAGGAATAAGGAAGAAGAAATTAAGTTACCTGGCTCTGTAAGGTAGCCAGAGATCAGAGTGCGCAAATGTTCAGGGATCTCTAGCATTACCTTGGGGTTGAGCTGTGGCTCTCCTCTGGAAAGTTTCCCCAAACTCTCCACTTTCCTAGTTTCTGAACTGAAATACCAACTGGCTCATCTTAGACATTCAGTTTTTGTCCAATTCAGTAAGTCAACAATGCTTAACATTGAATTAAGCACTGTAGAAGAAAATAGAGCCATTCTTAGAAGAGGATGGGTCACAGTGACAAAGACCAGGCCAGTGCTTCAGCTCTATCTGCAGCATTAGCAACTAGTGTCTGGGCACTTACTTAAGCCCTTGAAGTCAGGGATGAACTGGTCAATCAGCCATCAAGAAAGCCAACAGCTTGATGGGCCAGTTTCTTAAATACTCTATGATTCATGTACATACTACATTTGATAGTAAACTTCTCCACATGAAAGTGGGGAGAACATAGCCACGCCTCATTTATTCTTTTACTGCAGAAACATTTATAATGTTTTCTGTTCTAGATGTTGTGGAAAACACAACTGTGACTAAGCAGTAGCTATCCTCCAGAAGATAACAGTCTTACAGCAGAGATAAAACAAGCCAACAAATATGCAATGGGGAAGTAAAAAAAGATAGCAATGTAAGTTTTATTTTTTTTTTAAACTAGAATATCATTTTCTTAGTGAGGACATCAGTTTCCAATGTCTGGTCCTCAATTCTAGAAATCCAGATACAGAATTTTGACCTCCCCTCCCCTCCCCTCCCCTCCCCTACCCTCCTTTCTCTCTCTCTCTCTCTCTCTCTCTCTCTTTCTTTTTTTTTTCAGAGTCTCAATCTGTCACCCAAGCTGGAGTGCAGTGGCACAATCTCGGTTCACTGCAACCTTCGCCTCCCAGGCTCAAGTGATCCTCCCATCTCAGCCTCCCAGGTAGCTGAGACTAAAGGCATGAACCACCATGCCCGGATAATTTTTGTATTTTTAGTAGAAAGGAAGTTTCACCATGTTGCCTAGTCAGGAAAAAAAAAAAAAAAAAAAAAAAAAAAAAAAAAAAAAAAAAAAAAAAAAAAAAAAAAAAAAAAAAAAAAAAAAAAAAAAAGAAAGGAAGTTTCACCATGTTGCCTAGTCAGGCCTCAAACTCCTGACCTCAAGTGATCCACCCACCTCGGCCTCCCAAGGTGCTGGGATGATTACAGGCATGAGCCACCGTGCCTGGCCAGAATTTTGAATTTTCTGTCAGAGGTAATGATATTCTATAAAGTGACTCATTTTTAAAACTGTGCACAGGACTGATATTTAAAGCAGAATGTTGAGGCAGTGTTCCATTAAAATTATGCCTTTTCCAGTGCATGGGTCACTTGTGCAATCCATAGTATCTTCTTTGCAGTTTCAAGGTACCCGGGAATCACATGGTCTTGAGGGAATAGTTCATCCAGGCTGTAGATAACCCTGGTGAGCTACTTCTCTTCCACAATAAAGTGAATTTCTCTGTTGTAAACACCAAAAACTTAGATCTATTTCATACCCTTTTCCTTTACTTTGTGCTTTTTTCCCCCTTTTTCTTCTTGTCTTACTCCTCAGGATTATCCTTAAATCTACATCATTACTTTAATAAAATTAAAATAAAATTAATTGGATTACAAATGCATTTGAATATATATCAAGAGTCAAATGTGATGATTTACTACCCAGGCTTTGAGGTCAAACTCGAATTTTCCTCTTACATATGCCATTAAACAGCTTTGTGAGAATTGGACACCAAACTTAACAGTTCTAGTCATAAGTTCTTCCTACCTATGTAAAACGGGCCAATACTTATCCCTCTTAGGGTGGATGTGAAGATTAAATGATCTTATCACACAGACTGTGATACAGCAAGACCGGTACTCAGTAAATTGAACCCATGATTATTTAGTCTTTTTTTTTTTTTTTGACGGAGTTTTGCTCTTTAACCGAGGCTGGACTGCAGTGGCATGATCTAGGCTCACTGCAACCTCCGCCTTCCGGATTCAAGTGATTCTCCTGCCTCAGCCTCCAGAGTAGCTGAGATTACAGGTGCCCGCCACCACATCCAGCTAATTTTTGTATTTTTTTTTTTTAAGTAAGGACAGGGTTTCACTATGTTGGCCAGGCTGGTCTCGAACTCCTGACCTTGTGATCTACCTGCCTCAGCCTCCCAAAGGGTTGGGATTACAGGCGTGAGCCACCGCGACCTGCCAATTATTAAGTCTTAAAGAACTATTCTGTTTATCAGGAGTGAATGATGAATTTGGGTGTTTCCCAGCCCTTTATCAGTATCAAAGTACTCAAGAAACAGTGATAAAAAGAAAATCTTAAAACAACCAGGGGGAAAAAGACCTGTTAAGGAATAAGGAACAATTGTAAGGATAATAGCAGACTTCTTACTGGAAAATAGGCAAGCTGGAAGAAAGTGGAGCAACACATTTAAAATACTAAAGAAAAAAAAATTGTCATCCTAAAAATCTATACCCAACAAAAATACATTTTACTAACTAAAAAAAGGACTTTAAGATATATAAAAGGTGAAAGAATTCCACACCAGTAGATCCATACTACAAGAAATGTTAAAGGCAATCCTCTAAGTAGAAGAAAAATGAGACCAGATGGAATTACAGATTTACACAAAGGAACAAAGAGCACCAGAAAAGGTGGCTACAGGAATAAATGCACAATACTTTTTTCTTTTTATTTAAATCTCTTTAATTTATTTTTATTTTTATTTATTTATTTTTTTTTTTTTGAGACAAGGTGTTGCTCTGTGACCCAGGCTGGAGTGCAGTGGCATGATCTTGGCTCACTGCAACCTCCGCCTCTCAGGTTCAAGAAATTTCCATGCCTCAGCCTCCTGAGTAGCTGGGATTACAGATATGCACCACCAAGCCCAGCTAATTTTTTGCATTTTTAGTAGAGAGGGGGTTTCACCATGTTGGCCAGGCTGATCTCGAATTCCTGACCTCAGCTGATCCGCCTGTCTCAGCCTCCCAAAGTGCTGGGATTACAGGCTTGAACGACCGCACCTGGTCTTAAATCTCTTTAAAAGATACTGAACAGTTCAAACAAAAATAATAACAATATTGCATTGCATTAATAATAAATGTAAAAGTAAACTTTACGATAATAATAGTGTAGAGGCTGGGAAGGGAGAAATGGAAGTATACCATTGGGAGCTTCTTATATGTGAAGTGGTAACCTCACTTGAAGGTAAAAATCTTTAAAAATACTAGATTAATCAAAAGAAGCCAGAAAAAGAGAAAAGGGGGAACAACAGATGGGAAAAATAAAGAACAAATAGAAAAATGGACAAATAAAAAACAAATATGCTAAAATCCCAACCATATCAACATCACAGTAAATGAAATGGTCTGAATACTTAAAATATGAAGCAGGAATAAATAGATGAATTATAAAAACAAGACCCAATTATGTTGCCTACAAAAAATGCATTTAAAATATAAAGAAGCAAATACATTTTAAAGTAAATCGACAGAAAAAGATATACCATACTAACACTAATAAAAGGAAAAAAAGGCTGGAGTGTCTATATTAGACTAAAACAAACACTATTACAGAAAAAATCATCAAGGATAAAGAAGATTATAATTATAAAGGGACTGATTGAGCTAAAGAACATAAAAATCTTAAGCGTTTTTGCACCTAGTCAAAATCTGAGACAGAAATGAACAGAACTGAAAGAAGAAATAGACAAGTATACAGTTATACTTGAATAGTTCAATATCCTTCTCTTAATAATTGATGGAATCAGTAGACAGAAAAGCAGTAAATATTTGAACAACAGCACCAATCAACTTAAACTAACTGATTGTGATAGAACACTCCACCCCACAACAGCAGAATATACATTCTTTTCAAGGTTACATGAAACATTTACCAAAATAGACCATTCTGGACATAAACCAAGTTTCAATAAATTTAGAAGGAATTGAATTAGAAATCAATAACAGAAATATCCCTAGAAAATCTCTTCAAATTGGGAAACTAAATAGCATACTTCTAAACAGTTCATAGATCAAAGAAGAAATCAAAGAGAATATTAGAATTCTGAATTGAGAAAAACTTTAAAAACATGTTGAAAATGTGTGAATGTCACTAAAGCAATATTTCGGGGTGAATTTTAGTGCTAAATGTCTATAGCTGAAAGGAGAGTGGTCTCCAATTAATGACTTCCGATTGCATCTTGAGAAACTAGAAGAAGTATAACAAATTAAACCCAAAATAAGCAGAAGGAAGTAGGTAATAAAGATAAACACTGAAATCAATTAAACAGAAAAACAAAACAAAACAAAAAAAACCTCACAAAAGTTGGCTCTTTTAGAAGACTGATAAAATTGATAAACTTATACACAGGTAATCAATTTTAAAATAAAGAACAAAAATTATCAATATTAGGAACGAGAGAACAACACTACAAATTCTATAGATATCAAAAGGATAAGTCAATATAATAAATGACTTGATGCCAATACAACTTAGATGAAATAGATGAACTCATCGAAAGGCACAAATTATCAAATCTCTCTCAAGAAATAGATAACCTGAATAATCCTATCTCTAATAAGAAACTGATTTTGGAGTTTAAAAATCTTCCCATAAAGAAAACTGCTAGTCCGGATGTCTTATTGGTGATTTCTACTAAATATGTAAGGCAGAAATAATACTGATTCTATATCAAATCTTCCAGAAAATAGAAAAGGAGGGTACAGTCTCTAGCTTATCCTGTGAGGCCAGAATTTTCAGTTACTAAAAGCAGAAAGATATTACAAGAAATAAAACCACAGACCAACATTCCTCAGAACAAGATGTGAAAATCATAAACAAGATTTTAGTAAAAAACATCTAACAATATAGAAAAATGATAAGAAATTATGAACAAATGGGGCTACTCTCAGGAATGCAGGGTTATTTTAACATTGAAAAAGGTACTTAATCA